TTCTGAAACATGAACACCTTATTTATCCCATCCCTTCTGAAACATGAACACCTCATTTATCCCATCTCTTCTGAGAAATTAAAAGAATTCGTTAATATTGATTAATACATAGACTACATTTGCCTCCCTGATCTTATCGAACATGAAAGTCACCGAGTAWTCAATTAAAAGCCACACACGCAGGRTAAATTAATTATCGTTTCTGGATTTCCATGCATAAACGTGAAAGTATTCCAAACTTCCTTAAACTTGTGTCAAGTTGTTGAAGAWCCCTGTTTTTATTACCTCGGTTGGAGATGTTTATCGCGTAATCCCTGTCTATCATGGACCAAAATGTTGTAATAACCCTCAAGTGATTTTCCTAATCCTAAGTTATGACTGGCGCTGTCTTTCAACTTTTGATTTCAGTCCATTTTGTTAAAATCCGCTTAACTGCAGACATTACATTAGGGGATGGAAAAAGTGTTTTCTTACCTTAATTCTAGCAGAATGTCCAACTGAAAATAGAGGCTTTGGATCGGTCCGAAAAACGACTACATTGCTGAAAGTGCGCTTTTATCGATTATTGAATCGACTCAAAAGCATTGATATCGTGTTTAGATCAGTAGAAGTCAAACGCGGCTCCCAGGTTAGGTTATCGCGAGGATATTACTGTCTAAGCTTATCCCGGGGAGTTGATTGAATAAGCTTCCATTAATCAAAACACGACTGTATAATTACAGTGAAATAGTTCCATTATACCCAAGCTGAGTATGAATATTACCTTAAACATCTTTATGGTAYCTATAGTATGCGCGCTCTGTTAACTTATCGATAGCTCTTTCTTGAATGCATTGAATGCAGATTTGAATAAAAAAGCGATTAAAAGGAGGATTGCATGAGGATTGCCACAGGTTTTCGGGGGCAATCAGTTTMAATTGCTTTAAAAGACGAAAAAGCTGACTCTATTTTCCAATTTTTTGAAAAAGGTGTCAATGGTTAAAAGTCTTATGAATCAYATGATCTTTTTTATTATAGTTTCACCATAATATTTAACTATTAAAGAACATTTGGTCATGAATGGAAGTATAATTACAAAAGGACACGAACTCGATATCTATCTACACGAATTATATAGCAAAATGAATCAACGATGCGCCAATAGCGTCAACAATTGTACATACTAGTACAAAATATAATATCCGTCTTTTAAATCCATTGTTTTAATTTGTACTGTTTATTAGCACTTATATTGCTCAACCGCGGTACAAACTTTTGATGTTTGTTTACAGCGATTTATACATCTCGTTTTTGTTATTGTAGTATATTTTYGAGTAAAATTATTATTTTAAATTACAGTCAGAAGATTCATTGATGTGATGATTTAGCTCTTGTCCTCGGTAACTCTGGTAACCGTCTTCGTTTACAAAACTGGACTTTCACTTGRTTGACCTCGATCTCAGAGGACACTTCACATTTCTGTTTCGGTTCTTCATGTTGAAGTCCATCACTTGATATCGCYTAGTTTTCRAAGCGTTTTGGTTGATCTTTTACATTTGTGCTTCCCGTATCACTCTGAGAACGTTGTCTTTTCAGATGATGTAAATTATGGAGTATCTCGTGTAGAGCTTTCTCCATTTCTTGTTCATAAACATCTGAATGCTTCCTTGGCATGGCAAAATACAAAACCAACCCTTGATTAGTTGCTCCTTGTAAATCTACAAAGACTTCTAAAGGTTCCAATTCTGTTGAGGACAACTTTTTAGTGAAGTYCTTTCCATAGAATTGTCTTCTGGAACATAACCGGACGCATTTATGAGAAATTGAGATCAAAAACTCTTCTAATGATAATCCCTCTTTATTTCATCACGTCACYTTGATTACTGATATAAATCCATCTAAATATCTGTGTCAACAATGGCGGAGACCAAACTAAGCTCTGTTTTAAKTTCTCTTTGCCTTATCCTGTCAAAACTGTTAGTATACTGTCAGACTATTTCAAAATAATGATAAAAATATCGAAAAACGTGCTATATGAACCAGTAGTTCTACTTCAGAAAGACATATCACATTTCTACAGTGTTTTTGGTGATGCTAAACTGACTGCCATTAATGTAATAAACGTTTGCTAGTACTTGCCAAGGTCAGCTTTAAAAATTCCTGTCGGTTCGTATTAAACTAAGACGCAGAAAATTTAAGCGTTTGTTAGTAACATTCATTAAGATTTTTAGGATACGTAYGATACTAATTTCAGGGAAACAGAGGGTACGCCTTTAAACTCGGTAGACACCGTAACTTCACTTTCACGCTCTTAACTGCTTTTCTGCTATTTTTGCATTGATCTTCGTTATATGTACTAATCAGATAATTAAAAATTAATGACAYGGATTGATCTTCTAATTAGTGATAAAAATAATTAAATAAGATACTGTTTCCGCAAGTCGGTATATTGTGACTATGCCAGCATGTAATGTTGATGTGACGCGGGATGTGACGCAGTTATCGAAAACATCACCAACCTGAAATGACAACATACGTACGTTCTACCCATTTATAACCTGAGAGCCCGCGTACATATACGTCAGCGGCACATGAGCAAACGGCTACTGTCATTCAATCGAATCAAATGATTCGGCACACACTATGGTCAGAAGTACACCACAMCACACTGCACTATACTTTTCTTTTTTCAACTTGAACTCATATGCAATCTCTGACAATCAAATTGTGTGCTGCAGTTCATTCTACTTACGAACTTTTCAAAGTTGAAATAGATTATCATGTYATAATAAGCTCTAAGTAACTTGAAGGATTAGAAAGCAAGAAATCGATAGAGAATAATTTGTAAGAAATTTGTTTTTTGGGAGGTCGAATTCAACTCAATTTTGCATGACTTCTTAAAAAGTCTGAATTGATTCTAGATTTTGAACTTAGAATAAATTACAGTCCACTATAGAATCATCCTGCAGTATACTAGACAATCTTCGTGTGTTGATTCAAGAGTCAAAACTCTAAAGTCTTGACATAACAGAAACAGATTAAGCATGCGCTGTAGCAATGCAAGACAAAGAGTAACACAGGCTCACCAGTCACCTTCTTAGTTAATTACTCTCCTAACTAGCTTGCGCTAATCCTAGAAGGTTCACTTCTCCAATTCATCTAAACTCGTATGCCTTCTTTAGCAATGACAAATTATTCCACCAAACAAAACATCTGCTATATTCTCTGGTTGCACGTTATGCCATAGTCGCTATGTTGCATGAAAATAACATTGGTTCCTATTGTTCAATCATCCAACATGGCGGCGATAGTTGATCAGTAGATTGTCTTAAACAAATTGCACTTAACCCGTGAAAAAAACCAGACTACAGTAATTAACTGGTACTAGTAGACCTAAAATTCAATTGTTTTTCGTTGTGTCTATTGAAGGTATTTCAATTAAAACATTAAACGGTATATCAACAACACAATGTTAAGAAATTTCCTTGCCTTTGATGGATCAAGTGTCATATTCATTTATTTGAATTTCTCGGTGCAAATCAGTGTCTTTCATAAAATGGTGGATAAACACTTCTGTGATGCAGGAATTCTCCATAAATTTTTCAGTATCATTTTTAGCAAGCAAGTAGGAAAATGGATGACTGACATATTCACCCCTGTAAGAATTTATTATCGTCTGCTCTGATTCAATAATGGTTTTCAAGTTCCGATACGCCACATCGAGCGTCTTGTTTTACCTGTTGAATGACCCGCTTTTCGACCATTGACTCTACAAGTGTCTAGTATAATCAGCTCATAAGAAATCTGTAATTAAAAGTAAATTCACAGAAACGACATGCAGACTTTCTGGAAACAGAAACACGTACGCTTCAAACAAAGTTAAATGCAAGGTTTTTTTTATAAAGATCATCGATGATYATAATCTTTACCATTGGCAAATTATTTGAATTGACTGCTATAATATAGTAAAGTGTTCAAATATGATTCTGATGGCGTCTATTGGTAGGATTATATTATGTTGCCCMCATTCAGCGAAGGTTTTTTTGAAACCAGCAAAAATGTGCCGTGTGTTTATTCAATTAAAGAATGCTGTTCGTAAACCCAAACAATCAAATTAGCTGTTTTTATTGTTCATCAATTAAAAGCACAATGCCCACAACTGTACATGTTTGAAAATTAGAAATTTAGTACAAATACAAAAATATCGAATGTAAGGCCATAATAGTTAAATTTAGTTTAATTATTGGATTGAATGAAGAATAAAAATCAACCTTTCCAAGCTACATATATGATTTGTTCAATTCTGATACGAGTAATGCCATCAAAAACGTTTGTGCCACTTTGGTTTCTAAGTTTTGAGCCTTTTTGACGGATACAAAATTCAGTTTATTTTCAGTTTGTTTATTATATTATCATCTTCCATTCCATTATTCCCCAAAATATAGATGAAAACACGTATCTATGTTGATATGATTCGGGTGTTTGTGCCACTGGTGGTCGTAACACTGGGGAGCAGAAATTGCCATGATAAAGATTAATTATGATTGGTTCTTGTTTCTCGAAGAAATGCTGCAGTGGAAGCTACAAAAATTACTTTAAAAGGCTGTTTTGCTAGCATCACTAGAGGCTGCGATGAGACGAACCAGAATGAATAAAATATATAACTTGCATTAATTATAAGATTAATAGCCAGAAATCATTCATGTGATTATTGTCACATTTGAAATTTATCGCTAATCGTTGTTCTCTTTGATGCTTTTTCATGAATTTACCACAGAAGATGTTTGGGCAAAAACGGACAAAAACACACATCTTTGGGTAAAACCGTTTTCCCGGAAGCCAGAGCTTATCTCGTTAACGGAACGTGAACGCTCATCGCACGCATGCGTAATAACTTATTGCTTCAGTGAAAAATGTGAATTAATTTCATGCTACTTTTGGTTTCACTAACTTGAGCACTCACGCATGCGCACATCAGTCATCTCAAGTGAAATCATTAACCAACACATTCTCGGATCGGACCATCTTTTTTGGTCTAAAGACCAAGGCATAACGCAACCGTGGTAAGTAAAACACCAGTTAGTATTATCTAGATAAAAAGCCTGCATCTATCTTGTAGGTTTGATCTTTAGAACAGAATAATCAGCAAAGATTACTAAGTTAAGTCACAGAGAACATAACAAAGCCATAACAATCTAGATCTACCTGTCGATACATATGTTAAGTAGTAAACAAAATTTACAGTTTTATTTCAAAGAAAACTAGTGTGGTGCTCCTTTTCAGTTGACTATTTCAACAAATCATCAAACTTCATTAATCGTCTAAAGTTAAAAGTAATGTGTTAATATTATCAGTGCAATTCACATGTTTTGATTTCAGAAAGTAAAACAAAAAAATGTCYGTTCACATTTTCGTTGAAAATCTCCAGTATTGTTCTTATCTAAGTTAACAATTCTATGAATCACATTTAGCGACTATTCATTCGGGGAAAATCATTAAACACGAGCTATTTCTACCCTTCAAAATCGCGTATCACTCAAAATGCACCACCTGTTCAGTGATCGACTTTTTTGCTCGGATTTCAGGTACTCTTGCCTGTCTTTATTAAATAATTAACAATTCGACACGTAAGGCTCCGGTTCGATAGCCAATGCCATTTCGCCAGCGTTTGGTAAAACAGTAAAATTTATACGAAAACTAATGGCCGGATTTTGAACGCGAGAAACACCCTCAGGTAATAGAATCATATCTCTTTGGTAGTTTTAAGGGTCTACAATGAACTTTGCTGATTGTTTTGGAAATGTTCTTATCAGAATATGTAAATATTTTTGTTAAGATGAAAGACCATAGATGCAAACACCAAGAATTGACATTTTAACTATAAATATCATCGTTTTCGTTGTGAAAGATACCAGACTGATACATTAAACTTATTATAAAGCTTTACTAGACTTTACTAACGTTAAAGATGGCTACCGCGGCTTATGTTCTCTCAATCTATGGTGTTTGAGGTTTTTCTATTTGTAGTTTGCACGTTTGTTATTTTTAAATCTGATGTGTAATCTTGTGAAAGACAGAAGGAATGTTATGACAAGAACACGTTATTTTATTTTATATCTTGTTCTCGAGCTAAAARCCAAGGCGTGACATTGTTCGGCTGTGCAACTTAAACTGGGAGTTTGATGATCTGACCAGGGGATAGGTATATTTAAAAGGTATATGATATCAAATGTCATAAAATTCTTACATTTGGATTCTTTTACAGAAAGTCTGGTAATATGCTTCTTCGTGTGGGATGCGTTTTGCTGGTTTTCATATCCCTAGCAAGTTGTCGATCGTTAAGGAAAGGTAAATGGATTATAGTATATATATATTTTTTTTTGAAAAAAATGCTTTGACACTTGTTGCCTAAAATTATGTACATATCTTTTCGTTAATATAAACTCTAGAAGGTGAAATAACTCATAAAGATGTTAAACCTGACTTGATGCTGTCAGTATGTAGAATTAGCATSTTTTTCATTAGTTTAGTATCCTGTATTATATAAAATAAAATGCTATTCATCGCAAATGTATTGTCAATTGATACCATGGAAATTGACAACATAGTCACACATTATACTTATATTTTTAGTTCATAAAAGACAAGTTGACAGTTGTGGTAATGGCTGTGCTTCAGACTGTGCCCCTGCTTGTTCTTTAAGTTGCTGCGAGGCTCCTGGACCAGCTGGACCTACTGGACCTACTGGCGCTCCAGGAGTAAATGGTCCCACAGGTCCTGCTGGAGCTCCAGGTGCGGCGGGACCACCAGGTCCACCAGGTCCTCCTGGACCTCAACAACCACCTGGTCCCCCAGGACTTCCAGGACCAAAAGGACCACCTGGTCCACCTGGAATAAGTGGCCCACCTGGTTCAATAGGAGACGTTGGGCCTGCGGGAGCTGCAGGAGGTGGCGGTAATCTTGGCGCAGGTGGTAACCCTGCTGGACCCCAAGGGCCACTTGGACCACAAGGACCTCCAGGCCAGAAAGGAATGSCAGGTGCTCCAGGAAATCCAGGACCACCTGGTGCACCTGGGCTTCCAGGACCTCAAKTGCCCCCAGGTCCGCAAGGATTACCTGGTCCAAGCGGACCACCAGGACCACCAGGAATCCACGGAGCTCTTGGACCACCTGGAGAAGCAGGACCTCAGGGACAGCCTGGATTGCCAGGTCATCAAGGAGCACCYGGTAATCCAGCAGGCCCTCAGGGARCACTTGGACCTCCTGGACCCACTGGARCTCTAGGACCTCCAGGGCCAGGTGGAGAAGTTGGACCTGCTGGACCAGCAGGACCTCCAGGACCACAAATGCCTCCAGGACAGCCAGGTCCTAAAGGTCCTAGCGGACCTGCAGGACCTCCAGGATTACATGGACCACTTGGACCACCTGGAGATGTAGGTCCAYCTGGACCTGCAGGAGCAGCAGGTCCCGCTGGAGCTCCAGGAAACCCCGCGGGACCACCAGGACCACTTGGACCAGCCGGACCTYKTGGGATTGRAGGACCACCAGGGGCACCTGGAAATCAAGGACCACCTGGACCACCTGGTCCTCCAGGACCACAAATGCCCCCAGGTCCGCCAGGACTTCCAGGGCCAAAGGGACCTCCAGGACCTCCAGGAATTACCGGACCACTTGGGCCTCCAGGAGAGATTGGACCCGCTGGACAACCTGGGGGAGCAGGATGTCCAGGACAACAAGGAAACCCTGCTGGACCACAAGGACCACTTGGGCCGTGTGGACCCAAAGGCCCCATTGGCCCACCAGGAGAAGCAGGAAATCAAGGACCGCCTGGTCCACCAGGACCACCAGGACCACAAATGCCACCAGGACCTCCAGGACCTCCAGGACCACATGGACCCCCAGGGCCTCCTGGAATTCACGGACCACTTGGGCCCCCAGGAGAGATTGGACCAGCTGGACTACCCGGTGGAGCAGGATGTCCAGGTAAACAAGGAAACCCTGCTGGACCACAAGGACCACTGGGACCTTGTGGACCTAAAGGACAAACTGGAATGCAAGGACCAGCTGGTGATGTTGGSCCACCTGGACCGCCAGGACCACCAGGACCACAAATGCCTCCTGGTCCACCAGGACCACCAGGTCTTCCTGGACCAGCTGGACCTCCTGGACCATTGGGACCACTTGGACCCCCAGGAGAYGTAGGACCTCTYGGACCASCTGGAGGWGCAGGACRTCRAGGAGRTCAAGGAAATCCTGCTGGYCAACAAGGACCRCTTGGACCAGCTGGACCTAAYGGACKKACWGGAATGCAAGGACCAGCAGGTGATGTTGGGCCACAGGGACCACCAGGTCCACCAGGAGCACAAATGCCTCCWGGTCCGCCAGGACCTCCAGGACCAAAGGGGCCCGCAGGACCACCTGGAATAAACGGAGCACATGGACCACCAGGCGAAGTTGGYCCACCAGGACCTGCTGGAGGAGTAGGATGTCCAGGGCAACAAGGAAARCCTGCTGGACCACAAGGACCACTT